TGCCCGCCGCCCCCGGGGCTGCCGTGCCCGGCCCCCAGCCCGGCCTGCGCTCCGCTTCGGGCGGGCGAGCCTCGGGCTACGCTCCTCTGCAGCTTCCTCCCAGCTAAACATTCTGTGGCGCTGCCTTGTGCGGAGAACGCCGCGGTGTAGAACCCGAAACCACAGCCCGAGACTCCTTCTGGCGCTCCAGAGTGTTTTGCCCCAATGTCTCTTAAATAAATGTCACTCTTCCGAATAGTTCACATCTGCAGTTCTTCAATAGAGCTCTGAGTTTATTTCAAGCTATTGTCATTTCTTGGTGTTAGCATGCGCTGCTCCTCTTACCCGGGTAGGGCAATTGTGGAGATGGGTCTTGGCTCTGATGCTGTGTCCAAGTCGCAGCGTATGGCTGGACAGCCAAGATTGCCGTAGTGGTGGAGAGAGGTACTGGCATGAGTTGGTGGGTGCATCAGGACTGCCGTGTTCTGATGGCCTAGAGTGACATTGGCTGAGCTCCTGAACCTCTATTGCTCCCCTGTTCTCACCTTAAAAATGGGTGTGATGCCTGTGTGGCGGCCAGCTGACTTCGGTAGAAGCTTCTGAAGTGCTGTGGGGCCAGTCCCCCTAGCCCACAGAGCATGACGAGTCCTGACAGGAGTCCTGTCACAGCCTGGCAGTCACTTGTCCACAGCCAGCTTTCCTTTATCAGCTTGCTTGCTGCCTGCGCTCTTTTCCTGGCCTGTCCTTTCACCAGAAGAAATGCGGAAAAACCAGTTCTGTGGTTAATTGCTGCACTTCCCTCCACGCCCATGGGGGCAGGTCTCGTCCTCCTGCTCGCTCCTCACACAGTCTGGGTGCACTTCAGCCTCCAGTCTCTGCCCCTGCCTGTTCTCAGCCGGCTCAGGTGCACCGACAGGCCTCTGTACCCTTTCCATTAACCTTAAGCTTAGGTTCTCTTGCCTTCCTCTTTCCCCCTCTGTCTGCCAGAGCTTCTCCTTCTCTCCTGGATAAGGAAGCGGGTTGGCCTGCAGGTGCATAAGGTGCAGGCAGCTGCCCTCCTGGCCCTGTCCTGCCCTGCCTGGAGGGACACCATTCCGAGGTGATGGCTGGAGGAAACGAGCGGAGCATGAAGGCCCTGAAGGAAGTGTGGAAAAGAGCAGAGAACTCTTTGTGTGCGGACTGCGGGAAGCCAGGTGAGTCCCCGAAGGATGCTGGAGGAAGAGTTGGAAGCAGGGAGCTGGGGCTGATCTCTAGCAGCCACTCAGTGCTGGCTATCTGGACTGCCCAGGAGCCTGGGGCAGAGAGAAAGGGGAGGGAGGCGTTGCTCTGGGTATTCATTTCTTCTCCCTGGAGGAGAGTTGCCAGGGGAGGAGGGAGAAGATGCTGCCATAGCACTCGTGGGAAGGACAGGGATGTGGGAGTGCCAGATTAGCAGGGGCTGCATAGCTGCAGCACCGTGGGTTGTAGTCATGTCAGATCTCAAATGCAAATCAAGGTCATGCCCAGTCAGGACCGGACAGGAAAGCTCCCAGTGAAATCCTAACTTCTCCAGAAAGAAGGCATGATTCAGGAGCGCATTGTCTCTGCCATGACTCAGCTCTGTACTGACAACCTGCCACAGTTGCCTAGGAAATTTCATTTACTGAAGGGCTTGCCTTCTTAGAAGGGTACCCAGTTAGAGGCCCTACAAGTGCTGCTAAAAACACCCATCATACATCTCCAAAAGGAGTGTACCACCCAAGCCAAATTAAGACTGTGCAAATTAATACCATTTTACCCTATTTAATTATTCCAGGAGAGTTTTAGATTCAAGGACGTTTTTCACTTCTGAGCTAAACACTCTTAGGGGTTTGCTGTGATGCACTAAACAACTCCTGGGATCTTTTCCCAAAGGTGGTTTCATTTTTGTCTGGGTGATCCTTTACACAAAGGGAGTTCACAGACCACTTTGGAGTTTTTCAAGATACAGGTCATTAAAAATGTAGTGAAAATGATTGGAACGGGGAAGGAGGGACTAATAGCTGTGTTTTTTTCCTGACTGGCACCCATGCCTTGGGTTTTAATTACTCAGCTTGGATGAAACTGTGGTCAGCAGCTCCCTGTTTCTCAGGACTACATTCTCAGGTGAGGCATACCTCCCAGGAATATTCACCAGTTTTAGTTATACCCTTTTCCATATTCTCAGATCCTGACTGGGCATCCTCTACTTTGGGTGTCTTTATATGCCTCAGCTGTTCAGGAATTCACCGCAACATCCCTAGCATCAGCAAAGTCAAATCCCTGAAGATGGACTACTGGGATGATGCTCAGGTGCAGGTGAGATCTTTATCCCCATGGATGTGGCAGATGGTTTGGGCTACACTATGCACTAGTCCTGGCAAAATTAGTCCTTTGACCTCACAGAGTTGGAATGTAATCTGGTTTGATCAGTCTCCTTTCTACTCCTGATAATCAGGGATAATTCCCCACAACCCACTGGGAGAGGGAGGATACACTTGCCTTATGTGTCTCCTCATGTTCTGTTACTTTATGGCAAACGTAGAGCTCTTGCAATATATCTTACTAAGGCTTAGGGTCTTTGTTGCTTCAGATTTCTTGTTTTCCACTTGCCAGGACCATACAACCTCAATGTCTCTTGATTTCAGCAGTCCAAAGGGAAAATCTTGGGCAATTCCATTCTCTGAGAAAAGTTTCCAGCTATAATATGATCTCTTGAGAAAAATGGCACTTATGAGAACTTGTCTTCTCCCTGTTACAGCCCCCTCAACTCACTAACCTTCAGGGGACTGAAAATATTTTCTGGAGATCCAAAGAAAATAATCTGTGTCTTGTTGCTTTTTGGAAGAGGGTGGAATGTCCTTCCAGATGTCATTGCAGAGCTGTTGTTGAGCTCTCCAGGAGATGTGGCACATGGCACATCCATGCAAATCCACTGGACGTGTGTGCACCCAGCCTTACGGAAGTGACATTTATGGCACTCTGTTGATTCAGGCGCAATCAGTGTAATGTCTGAGAGTAGATAAGACCTTTGAGAACCACCTTCCTGCAGCCAGACTGCTGGGATGTTGCAATGGAGGGGAAAGAGAATGCTCCATTAGAGTCTGATGTGCATCTAGCCCTGTAGTGGGTCAGGAAAGAAAAGGTCCAACACGAGTCTGCATCAAAGGCAAGACACTAACTCTCTGTCTAACTCTGCAGTTTTTGGCCAAGCATGGAAATGCTGTGACTAAAGCCATATATGAAGCTCACATCCCTATTTACTATTACCAGCCAACCTTCAATGACTGCCAGTAAGTTGCTGCATATAGAAGAAAAGGGGGAAGGGCAATTCTCTGTTCCCCTAATTCCTCTAGTTTGTTTCTGATCTACCTGTCACCTCTCTCCATAGAGTGCTGAGAGAACAGTGGATACGGGCCAAATATGAACGCAAAGAATTTACTGAGCCGGGAAAACAGCTGCCATATTCTGATGGTAAGAGCAGAACACAGCATCAAAACATCCTGTTTGTTGCCTTAACTGGAAACTTCTGAGCATTATGAGGTGTCAGTGTTGCAAATCTCACATGTACTCCTGAGAACCAAACTGGTAATTACAGGGCATAGTTTGGGGGGTGTTAAATTGTGGACAACATAGGCTGGCACTGCCACAGGTAGCTTAAAAGCCTGGTGTCACCAGGTGGCAGTTTTCAAAGGCATTTGATGTCTTGGTGGAGACAGACATCTATATCTGTCCTTCTGCATGCCACTCCTTCTAACCACAGCAGTTGTCCTTGAAATGGCACAGCCAGTCCTGTGACAAAGGGCACTGGAACCTGCAGAGCCAAGTGGGAAGAATTCTGGTCCCACACCAGAGTCTGCATGGACCAAGACTCTAGTGTTCACAGGAGACAGCTGTTGCACAGAGGTAGCAGTGGGAGCAGGACTAGGAGGTGGAAAGAACATGGGAGTGTCTTTTGCTGAGTGCTTATCTGCACTGCAAGCATGGGAACACCACCATCTTTAGTTGTAAGACAGAGGTGAAACATCTGAAGTGTTTATTCTCAGCAATAGTCCATCATGTTCTTTGTCTCAGAGGGGTGGCTGGGCCCCAGGCTGCATGCAGCTCTCTGATGCCTACCATGCCTGTGGGGGAATGCTGTTATAAGTGATTTTTCTGCTCCAAGGGGTGAAGGAAGGCATCCTTTTGAAGCGAGGTCGAGACAACGGGCAGTTCCTACCCCGCAAGTTCCTCTTGTCTGAGAGAGAGGGATGTCTGAAGTATTTCACCAAGCAGGATGTGAGTATGGTGGTCAACTCCCACCTCAGTGTGTACTCCACCCAGAGCAGCAGGGTGACAGAGATGTTCTGATTTCTTACTCATGTTTCTGAGAGTGCCCTGCTCATCCCAACTCAGGGATGATAACAAAACATGTCACTAAGGAGAAGGGTCCTCTTACTGCTATCAGAGTGACTTTTCCTCATGCTCTTCCTTTGTGCTTCCTTCACTACTGAGGAAAGGACTAATCTTTCACTTAACTCCTATCCGTTTGCCTGGATGTGTAATCCTGCACCATTCCTGGAACCAGCATCACCCCATTGTGGGCCAAGTCAGCAAAAACCATTTCTCTGGTTGGTCTTGAGGAGGGCTATTTTCTGCTCATTCATCTCTCAGAAATGAGCGGGGCAAGAGCTAAAATGCTGTCACAAGGGAGGGAATGGCTCAGGGTAGGGAGAAACAGGACATGTCATCCAGAGGAACCTGGACAAGTTCCAGAAATGGGCTGATATGAACCTCAGAAGGTTTAAAAAGGCCAAGTACAAGGTTCTCCACCTGCATCAGGCCTCTGACCCTGCCTTACCCCACTTAGTCAGCAGCTCAGGTCTCTTTCCTTCTAGGATTGCTCATGCATGATCAATGCCTTTCTGTTTTCAGGGCAAAGAACCCAAAATCAATGTTAAAATAGATGTCATCAATGCTACATTCCAGCCAGAGAAGATTGGGAACCCCAATGGGCTGCAGATCACCTATCTCAAAGACAATAAGACCAGGAATATATTTGTCTACCATGAAAGTGGAAAGGTATCTGGTTTTAGCATCAAGCACTGCAAAGGCATTGAGGAGCTGCTGATATTAAATAGTATGAAGCATGGGTAGGATGGAGTGTGTGTGAGTTGCTGTAGGTAATAGGGTGGGGGTTCTGGCTCTGTGTTTGTGTATCTGTAAGAGAGTTTTGCTGCAGGGAGCAGGGCAGGAGCACTGGCTGAGTTGGTTTGTGTGGGAGGAGTTCTATAGAATGTGTGCTGCCTGTGCATGTGGGGAATGGGGCAGCCGTGCTGGCCGTGTGCATGTGAGGGAGATGCTGCAGAGGGAGAGCTGGCTGTGTTTGTAGCTGAGACAGGGCTGGGTGCAGCTAGGTGAATTTAGATGGCCCACTGTTTGCCCTGGCTAAGCTTTCTGTCCTGTCCTGTTCCATCCTCAGGAGGTAGTGGACTGGTTCAACGCCATCCGCTCTGTGCAGTTCCATTACCTGAAGGTGGCATTTCCCATTGCCAGCGATAATGAGGTAAGGCCCTGAGTCTCCTGCTGCTTTTGTGATAAAAGTGCTCATTAGTTACTGTTACAACCCCAGGTAGGGAAGTGGAAATTGCAGGGTAAAGATAAAAGGATGAGAAGGTGTTTTTAAAAGGGCCTGTGGTGGTCAGAAAACAGCTGCTCTCTGCTGTTTCTGGGCATTTTGGAGGCAGAGGTGATGCCTAGCTAGGCAGTTTGGGAAATATAAATTTAGAAAGAGACTGAATTTGGGGGAATAGAAGGGTGGGGGAGGGAAATGACTAGCAAAGAGGCCCAGCTAAGTGGATGTTACTCTCGCCATTTTGTCAGATTAAAAATCGTTTGACGAGAAACTTCTTGAAGGAGGGGTACATGGAGAAGACCGGTCCCAAGGTGAGCTGCTATGGTAGAAAAAATCTAACAGGGGCCTGTCAGAGCACCACTGGCTTTCCCTACTTCAATGTTTTTCTCCTGCTGTTTCCCCATTCCCCCTGACTCTTTAGACACCCGTGGGAACAGTGTGTGTGCACCAAGGGAGGGGAGAATAAAAGGAAGGGGAAGGACACATGTGAAAGTAGATGAAGCCAGAGTCCCTGCTTTCTCCCAGAGCGACAGATCTCTCTGCATGTGTCTGTGTGTGAGTGACCTTACAGGTATTTAGTGTCCAGATTTCTTCTGTCTCCCCTCTGGGGTCCTTCATTGAAGTTCAGGAGTTGGGGACAGCAGCTGGAACTGAATAACACGATACTGACCCTTACTCTCAGCTCAGAAAGGGCGAGGAGGAGGTTGCTGTTAAAGCAGGGGCTTGCTTCAAGGGGTTGGGATGAGTTTGGGGTATCCATTCGCACTGCTCGCAGCAGAGGGCACTGTCCCCTCACACATGTCACCTCTTCCCTTCACAGCAGAGGGAGGCTTTCAAGAAGCGCTGGTTCACGCTGGATCACCGCAGGCTCATGTACTTCAAGGATCCTTTGGTGAGAGGGAGATGAGACTGCCGGGCAGCTGCAGGCAACAGTGCTGAGGGCAGGGTCAAAGCGCAAACTGGGTCTGTGCTCTGCAGTAAGGGTGTCTTGCAGGTTTCCCAGCTGCTATAAATGGTCTCCAGGTCTTCCCTTTTCCATCCCTTTTAGTTCATCGCATGCTTTGTGTGTTTGTTTCACTGCCTGTAAACAATGGGGGACAGGGAGGGCAGCAGTGTAAAGGTGGTGATGGGAGGGTGACATAGAGAGGTGAGAGTATCAGTTCCTCTCTCAGACCTCTTGAGGTTCATGTCCTTATTTTTTCCTTTTCACTACTGCCTTTGAGCATAGGCTCACTGCTCTTCTGAATCCCCTGATCACCTCCAAAACCTCTGGTGCTACATCCCCGATCCTCACACACTCTCCTCCTGTCCTTAGGTGCACTGTAATGATTCTCTTGTTCTTCTGAGATTCCATAAATCACCGTCTTTCCCTCCCGATGTGCAGGACGCCTTTGCTAAGGGTGAAGTATTTGTGGGCAGTGGAGAGAATGGATATAGTGTCCAGAAGGGATTGCCTTCAGGGACACAGGGCAACTTCTCTTGGCACTATGGCATCACCATTGTCACCCCTGACCGGGAATACCTCTTCACCTGTGAGACAGAGACTGACCAGCTGGAGTGGATCAGAGCCTTCACTAGTGTCATCAACCAGGCCATGACACCACAGGAATATGCAAGTAAGTGCCTGGATGCTGTTTCCTTTCCCTCCTGCCACTCCCATTCAGGGTATTGCCCTAATGCACTTCCTTTTTTCTTCACTACAGTTGAAGCCTACTTCAAGTTTAAGTCCTAGGAAGCCATGCAGGAATCTCACTATGACTCAACTCTACCTGGTCCTATTGGGTTGCTGTCAGGACAGGAGAGGAGATTGACATCAGAGAAACACAGTGCTCTTGGAGCACCCTTTGAAGCACTTTTGCCCCCATATAATACCCACTTTGTTTTGAGGGCCCGATTAAGCTGCTTCTTTTCAAGGCAAGATTTTGTGCATCTGAATCCTCAGTACAGCCTGTCCCTGTTAAATTGCTGTCATCTGACTGGATGCTGACAGGTCTTGCCTGTCAGTCAGGCCTTGAAAACTTTGGCACTTACTGTGTTGGGCGTGGGACCTAGCATCACTCCTGCATGAAACTGCAGACAGCCACCCACCTGGTGAAAGAAAACTGGCTGGAGCCAGGCACCCCAGCTGGTTACAGCGGCTGCTGGACTAAAAGAGACTGTTCCTTTACAAGAAATATCATACCTGCTGGTGACAGAGATGTGAAACATCTTGATATTTGATCAGTTAGTGCAGTGGTTGAGAAAGGTCACTTAAAAGATGAAACCTAACAGCCAAATGTGAGGCCTGTTTCTTTCTGCCATGTATGGGCTTGAAAGCTTCTTCAGACCTTCCACCAAATGCTTCAGAGGAGACTAAGAGATCGTCTCAAAAATAATGTGAATATACATTTGGGTATGTGTATACATTATATACACACATAACAAAAAGTGATGGAGGTGAAATGCTGCCCTAGGGAAAACACCCTGAGATGTATTCATGCCACTGAAGATCAGCTGCCAAACTTGGCAAAATGGAGAAGGGTTGGGTCTTGCAAGGAGAAGCTGATAACATGTATAGAGTTCAGAGTCTGCTGTCTCTACTACTTCAGGGTTGATGCTGAATATAATAATACATGGATCTCTGCTCCCTCATTCTCTGTATGTCAAAGGCCTGGCACTTTCATTTTGACCTGCACATTGCATATGTTTATCTTGTATATCACACATACATATCATTGTATGCAGTAGTATAACAGGGGAAGTCTCTATTAGTAAGAGTTAGCCTAAAACACTAAATCAACCCATGATTCATGTCTTAACACTCATCTCTTAAAGCTCTCTTGGGAGAGCTCTGTTTCACATGCTGGAAGGAGTAGCTGAGTTCTGCTGGTGACTAGTATCTGATGCATTTGCAGTTTTACTCAGGCAGTGTGAGAGAAGGTACCTCATGTGTTAAGGGGAGCTAGCTGGAATTAATAAGAAAACCAGTATTTTAATTAGCTCCTAAAGAAATAAATAAAAAAAATCACATTGTAATTTATTTTCATTTCCTAAACTAGCTGGCCTATTAACTGTTGAAGTATGAGGCTGGTTTTTGGAAAGAAAAAGCAGAATGATGGACCAAAAAGCCATAGCAGTTCATTGTATTTCCTGGGGCACATGGACTGTGATTATTCCCATCAGAACCAAAAAGGCAGACTCACAGTGCCCCCTCTGCTTCTCTGGGGACCCCACTCTGCACCAAGACCACCACAAGCTGTTGGGAGCATCAACTTCCTGGATGAGAAGCATCACTCACCCTGCTAACATGGTGCAATAGAAATATCCACCTAGAAGTATATTTTCACTGCATTTTCCTGATCTCTCCCAGTTTGGAGCACGATTTCCCTGAAAACCAAAGGTCATTGCACAGTGCGAGGAGTACTGATGGGATGTCTCCTCCTGTTTGCTGCTGAATTACCACTGCTGAGGCATTTGACTCAGCCACAATGGAGCTAATACACCGATGATGCAAAAGAGTGTGTCTGGAATGGCCTGAAACCCTGAACTAACCGATAGTACATGTTGTATGGCACGTCTGTCTCTGCTCTGCAAATTCTGTCCCACCGTGTCTTGCGAGGCTCAGATGTGAGTGAGGAAAGGGCAGTCTAGCACCGGGCATGGGTGTCGTGTGCTGGTGCCTCGCTAGAAGGCGGTGGTGCCACGTAATGGGCTTCTGCTCCCTGCTCTGAGGCGAGGCAGCTTCCTGGGGCTCCGAGGGAAGGAGGGGGAAAGCTCACAGGGGGAGGATGGTCTTTGTGGAGAGGAAGGAAAGACAGAGTCTAAAATATCCTTTGAGTCTTCAGGAGCTTGTTGCTGACTTGGAGGCAAAGGTGGAAAAGGGCCAGGAGAGAAAATGTGAGATATCCTACAATCTGGTGGGGCTGCTTGCAAACTGGGGACTACATCCACAATACCCAAACCTCTAAGGGCCCTGACGTCCTTGGGAGGGAGCGGGGGACAGGTTCTTTCAGTCTGGCTTGGCTAGGGAGAGCTGCGTGGCTGCTCCCTGCCTATTACACTTCCAGGGCTGGCCCTTGTTTCCTTTCTAAAGCCACAGCATGATGCTTTCCACCCTCCTTGCCATATTATGGAGTCTTGTCTTTCAGTTGTCTCCTGTCGCAAATGAGGACAACCATGAAGGTGAAATGGGAAAAAGAAAGGGAAACAAGAACAAGAAGGAAGACGGAGCAGGATAAAGGTGCAGGAAGATATGGGGAAGAAAGTATGTCTGCCAGAAAGAGGAAGGGCTCCTCAGCTAGTAGCTGAAAGCCCAGTATAAATTGGGACCTGTTTTCACACCGGTGTGTGAAGCTGTGAGTCAGGCACATTCTTCCATGCAGTGGTCAAGGTAGCTCTCAGGGGGTTGGTTCAGCGGGGCTCTCCTGGGGGCTCTCCAAAGTCTGTCTGAGCTGAGCTGAGCTGACACAGACTTGGGAGCAGAAATCTGCTTGTTCATCCACTGTTTCTGTGGGCCCAGCAAGCTCTGGAGGAGCAGCAAAGGATGAGCTAGTGAAGAAGAGACATTTCCTCCTGGCTGGCAGAGGTTATCTTGCACGTACTGGTCTTGAAGGAAAAGGCAATGTTCCTTTCTTGGCTCTTTCATGGTTAAGGAGAACAACTGGACAGAGTTTGTGATGGACAACATCAGCAAAATGGACTGGGCAGCTGCAGGTGAGGAAAAGACTTCTCTGGAGCATCCTGATGAACTCTCCCCATTCTTCCCTTGGCTGTTTTGCTGTTAAGGACAGACGTGTTCTGTACAGCAAGGGCAGAAGGCAGGAGGAAGGAACAGGTCTTTCATAGCTTGATTTGCTTTTGCTCAGCTTACCTAAAGATGTCTTACAACCCTTCTCTCATCAGCCCAAGTCCTAGAGGGGAGCCCAAGGGTGGCAGTTTCTTGGAGGAAAGCAGTGGTGGGGATGATGACAGCAATGTCCTGGGAGGGGACAGCCTGGTCACAGGGCCGCTGGGTGCAGTGTTGCTGGCCATGTGCCTCACTGGGATGGTGGGGAACATCTACACAGTGGCAGTGGCCTCTGGCAGGGTGGCAGGCTGCTCAGCAGGTTCCTTGGGAGTCTACACGATCAACCTTGCCCTGGCTGACCTCCTGTACCTCTCCACCATCCCCTTTGTGGTTTGCACCTACTTCGCCCACGACTGGTTCTTTGGGGATGTGGGTTGCAGGCTTTTGCTCAGCCTGGACCTCCTCACCATGCATGCCAGCATCTTCCTCCTGACCGCCATGAGCCTGGAGAGATACTGGGCGGTGGCCAGGCCTCTGCGGGCCAGGCGGGCCAGCAACGCCTACCGCAAACTGGCCAGCGCCATCCTCTGGCTCCTCTCGCTCCTGCTCACGGCCCCCATGATGGTGATGACCCGACTGCGGGAGGGGAACGGCCCCCACAAGCGCATCTGCGTCCCCACCTGGACGCCATCAGCTTTCCGGCTCTACCTGACCGTGCTGTTCACCACCAGCGTCCTGGCGCCCGGTGCCGTGCTGGGCATCGTCTACACCCGCCTGGCCCGGGCGTACCAGTCCTCGGCCTGGCGCCTGGAGGTGCCGGTGGCCGGCCGGGCCCCTGCCCGGCAGCTCCTCTCCAGGATCTCTGCCATCGTGGTGGCCTACTGGGCCTGCTTCCTCCCCTTCTGGGCCTGGCAGCTGGCCGGGCTGTACCAGGGAGAGGGGCTGGGCATCAGCCCCACTGCCCAGGCCTACCTTAACTTTGCTGTCACCTGCCTAGCCTATGGCAACAGCTGCGTCAACCCCTTCCTCTACACCCTGCTTGCCAGCAGCTACCGCCGGCGCCGTGGCCGCACCGGGACGGGCGCGGCACGGCCTGCAGCACCCTCTCAGCAGGCTGCGGGAAGCCACAGCATCCCCCTGGCTTTCATGGAGCTGTCAGGGTCTGTGAGGGAAAGCGAGGGGTGAGCAGGCTGGAAACATCTGACCTTTGGCTGGGGTCATGTTGAGAAATAAAAGTATGTCACTTTCCATGCCAGCATGCAGTGTCCTCCATCAATGCTGTTGCAGTGCTTTCACCTTTGCGTGGCTGCTCATCCTGCTCAGCTGGGTGGGGAGATTGTTTGTCTCAGGGATCCCGACTCCATCCTCAGATCCTTCAGCCCTCACACATCAGCCTCCACCTTGCACAAGGTTGGGGAGTGGGTGGAAGGGAGCAGTCAGCTTCGATATGTCTAAATTATATATCTGGGGAACCTTTGCCACCCCTCATCTCCTTGCTAGCAACGGGCCAAGCCATAACAAAGTCAGGACAACAGTGAGTCATAGATTTCACAAGAACAATGAGTCACTTCAAGAAACAGCCACACTAGCAGGAGACCTCACTAAGGTTCATACTCCTGTAGTAAAGCTACCACTAAGCTTTCTTCCAGAAACCATCACAAAAAACGTCTTTGAAGAATCTAAAGAAAGATTGCCAAGTGCAATTAAGAGGCATTGCGAGATTCCCCTGTAGTACAGCCCAGAGAGTCCAAGTACATTTGCTCAGGTTTAAAGATCAGCCCAGCAGAGGAAGATGCAAGGAGAGACAGCTCTCCTCTGTGTCCATCATGACAGTTCATGGTACCCTCACCAGCACCATGACCCTGCTGTGGTTGAGGGAACTACCCAATTTTCCGGGCCACCAAGTGTACCCCAGTCTGGCAGACTGCGTCAGTACTTCTTGTGTAAACTGAGCCAGGTTTCTTGCCTTGAGACCATCTAGCCTAGCATGGCTCATTTCCATACTGCTGAACCTCTCTTCTCCAGAAAGGATAGCTTCATCCTTATCAGCCCATGGGAAGAGCCCCCAAGCTATGCTGTCCCCCTGTCATGCCTATGCACAGGATGCTAGATGTCATGTTTACAGTTATAGATATAGCCCTAAAAAGAGTGTGATGTGATCATCCAAAGCTGACGGGCTTTGGGCAACACAGGACTTCAAGAGAGATCCAGCTGCAGAGCCTCAAGTTGCTCATACACCCCAAGTGCTCCTACCTTTCAGCTAAACTTTCATCTCTTCCTCCTCAGACCCCAAATTCCTAGCAGCTCAGCCTCCCTCTGCATGAGTACCTAGGACACAGGACTTGTCAGAGCCTCATGAATTATGAAATAAGAACGGCAGGTACGGCTGCTGTAGGGGAAAGTCCCTGTTCTCCAGCTGCTCTGCAACTGCTTAATGTGAGGAATTAGCCCAGCCAGGCCTGCAGGGAATCCTGTAGTACATGAAATTGTTAGTGCTTTGTGTTGCTTGTGGCCAAGTCTTTCATCCCAGACTGACCTGGTGATTGCTGTGCACTGTAGATAGGGCAGATCCCACCTTTCCTGTGCCCACCAGGCACAGCATGCTCAACAGCAGTGCCAGGGCAGCATTAGACTGAGAGAGTCCCCGAGGCAGCTATGCAGCAACATCAAACATGCCTGACTGCCTCAGACTCCTCGGAGTCTAGCCGCAGTTTAGACTGAGAAGCGCTCAGGTTCATTTGGGCCAAGTAAAATAGGAACAAAAGCATAGTGCACACCTCCTTGGCCTCCCACGCTCCAGCTGGGCATCGCTGCCTCCCTCAGCTCTGGATGGAACAGGCAAAGCGCAAGGGGCAGAATAAAACCAGACACCTCCACGTTACTGCCCTCACGTGCCACAGCACAACTCTTTGTGCTCCTGCAGGTACTGGAAGATAGGATTTGAATGAGGAACCCTCTACATGCTCTGCCACACCCAGCAAGGCAGCTTTTCTACTGTCAGTAGCAGTAAGAGGTCCCAAGCAGACATAGGAGTAGGACCAGCCTCTACAGAAGGCTTCAGTCAAAACTAGCACAGTTGAGGACTTTCCCCTCACTCCATGCCCCACTAGGCTCACCTAGCACAGCCACTCAGTGCTGTCTGATGTCAGCCAGGAGTGCTTAGTTTAGGTACACTTAATTTATTCAGGCAGTGTAAGGTGTCAGTCTAGACCTCAACAGCAGGTGACCTCACTTAAGGGATGCTTTTACTCTCCCCCCAGTGACAATTAGCCCCAATACCTCCTCCTGCAACTCTCCTTGGACTTTTAACCTTCTGTCTTCCCAGGCTTTTAGCCTTAATCCTCTTCTCCATCCATGACTTTCAAGGACCAAGGCTGGGACATTTGCATCCACTTATGGTACTCAAGCAAAATTGGCTACCGCTCTCCACCCACTCCCAGCAAGGTGTCCCAAACCATGAGGACTTGCAATATTAAAAATATTAGATTTTCAGACTTAGTACACCAAAACTCTTATTTATTGATTGTTTTTTTTCTGTATCTTTGAGATGGAGGTGTCAGAGGAAGTTATTCCCAGCTGAGGGACTGGAGTGTGAAGTCCCCTTGTGTATCAAAGTAGTCAAAGACAGAGAGGTTAAGCCGGTTAGGGAACGTGAACTGGTGGCCTGGCAGGTGGACTGTCACATCATTTTGGTTGACACCAAAAGTGATCTGCAAGGCAAATGGAAAAGTTAGAGAAAGTTTCCTCAAGCCTCTCCCCTCTGGAGCACTGCTGTGCCACCCTCTGCTTCACAGGGTGAACAAGCTCAGTAGAATAACCTGTTCACCAACAGCAGGGGTGTTATTCTGGTCTTCCAAGAGATGCCCATTCCCTGCTCTGCTCAATAGTAACACCTTTGAGCCAGATGGAGCTTACACGTTTGATCCCCACCCTCTATCAGTGCTCAGAGCTCTGAGTGGTGGCACTGGCCAAGCAGGAGAAGCCAGCCACCTTGTGTACTGTCAGCCCTGAGACAGTCCTTGCAGCTGGGTGTCCTGCCCCAAACACCCTCCCTTCACCAGAGCATGTACAGAGAGTGTGTATACATATATATAAATATACATATGCATGCCTCACCTCTGCTGTGCCCCCCTTCTGGAAAGGAAAGACAGTCTCCCTGTGCTCTGCACCCCACTCTTCCACCTTCTTTGAGTTGCACACGATGGTGTTCACATCGCCATGAGCATCAAAACGGGGATTGAAATGAAGTCCAAGGAGGGTAGCATCCTTGCCCAGATTCATCACAAAGCTGCAGAGGAGAAAAAAAAAATACATCAATACAGCTAAAGAAAAATACATCAATACAGCTAAAAAAAAATAAAATCAGTACTACAAGCTTTTAACAAGAGAATGGTTCCATACACAGTGCCCTGAACAGAGTTATTATACACCCAAACCAATTCCCAAGGAGTCAGTTGCTTTCCATAGATTTCCTTTTAGTCCTGAACAGTTAGCTAATGCTGCATCCTGCCTGACAGCCACTGCCTTCTCCCCATCCTGCAGGCAGCTGCAATATTCACCATGTCATTAGCTATCCCAAAGTATCTGCAACAGCAGTTGGAGGAAGTTTCCTAGACTAGTGTCCACCTTGCCTTCAGGCCTCTTACCCAGATGAGAAGAGGCATATTGCTTGGCAAGAGAAAGCCTGGGAGGCTTCAATCAGACAGTATCAAACTTCAAAGGCACTGGGAAGTGCTGGGACATGTTTCCTGGAACACCGCTAGTTCTGCTAGTTACAGCAGCTACGGGCTCCACCTTACCTGCAAAGGGGCCCCCCAGCCACAGACCTGCTCAAGGGCTGGGGGCTGCTGCAGACACTCCGCTGGGAAACCCAGCCACCCCAGTCCCTGCACATTTAGGGGTGCATTTCCACTTAAGCCCACCTGCCTGCTCACCACCTTTCTTCCTTCTTTCCCCACCATCATGTCAGAGGCAAATCCACTGGAGCACCGTAAGTGTCCCTACTCCTGGTGATCTTCGTGCAGGGGAGAGGATGTGGTGGAGAAGACGATCTCAACCCAAATCTCAGTACAGCCACAGCTTCCATTTCCTTTACCCTGCACTAGAGAGGATGTGGTCACTGCCAGCGTGTACAGCTGGAACTTCACATCTGCTTTGGCTTAGCCCCATGGCAGTACTGTGTCTGCAATGTGCATTAGGTGATGACTCACTGGAAGCACTACTGGCGTTAACCCCTTCTCTTCTACCCGAGGGACAGAGTCCTTTTGCCACCAGTTTTTGCAGACCCCTCAGTGTGGTGCCTTGGCCATGCCTGGGCAGCTCAGCACAACTCACCTCTTGGCATTTGGCGCAATTTTCCCCTTGACAGTGAGGCGCTGGCCAGGCTTGAGACCCAAGTTGGTGCACACTGGTCCCTGGGGAATGTGGAAGCAGAGACATTAGCTCAGTACCTGCTGGCTCACTTGTTCTGACTTGGCAGCTTTCCCTGCTGCCTTTTAAGACATGCTTTGCTTTGGACCCATGGAGAAACAGGGAAGCTCCCTTGCCCTAGGGCATTGCAGCAAGGACATCCCAGAGAAGTTTCCTCAGTCACATGGTACATTTGATTGGAGCTCAATTTCCTAATCTTTCTCCTGCTGCTCTCATCAACATATCTGTATTTCAGAGCGGTGAAGTGCAAGTACCTGCACACTCCAATCACACCCACCCATCCCAAACACACCCATGTGCCTTGTGGGTCTCATGCCATCCCACACAAACCTGTCTGGGATGGATGGCAGGGATGGAGACTTCACTCCCTTCCCCTACCTCGTGTTTGAACTTCAAACCTTGCCCACGTCCAAGGACTCAGACACCTTGCTTCCCATCTCCCAACAGCTTGAGGGTTTTTTTTGATGTAGGCTCAGTATTTGCAAGAATGTTTTTCTGCTCCCCAGAGACACCTGCCCCCCACCTTCTCTCTAGGAGGACCAAAATATCCTGGCAAACCCATATGTACTCATTTTTTTATCACAGCAGAGCCAAGACCTCAAGAACACTGAAAATCTTTTCCTATCCCACCTTAAAAAATAAGCTTGCTCTTGGGACAACCCCTGCTTAATCACCCTCAGCCTAATGAAAGGCAAATTAATCAAAGAAGGGCAATCACTCTTCTAACACAAGCATCTCCCTAGCAGTCACAGAATAGCTCAGGCTGGAAGGGATCTTGGAGACCAAGTCCAATGTCCCTGCTAAAGCAGAGCAGGACGCAGAGTGTCATGTCCAGG